AATATTCTCAATATTTCTAGCCCAAATTATTATTGTAATTAGGTATTGTGAACCCGTATCAATCTTAACAATTGCTAACCCTTTTATTTGAAAAAAAAAATTTTGTTAAAAAACGTGTTGCCTCAACTTCAGTTGACTGATAGTTGATGTATCCCTTTTAAATGAAGCTATTTCTCTAAAGAGTTGGTTTTAGTGAGTATTTCTATTAGATTCATTCGTGGTAATAATTTTTTTTTCCCAAACAATATGAACACATTATCACTGAAAATGTAAGAATAGGCATGTACTATCTCAAGTATTCTTAAATATGTCCCATCTATGAAATTGGATTTAATATTTATTTTATCAGTAGTCACTATATTTTAACTAGTGTACTTTCAAACTTTTAATATTTTTTGACGCTTTTCTGAATATTTGACAAGAGTTATCATCTAATGTATCTTTTGTCCAACATAAATTTACCATACACTTACAGGACATTTGGTTGGAAGGAAGAAATTATGAGGGAAATGAATTGTAATTCGGTGAAAAAAGAATGAGGTGAGAATAAAGTAAAATTCAAATTACATTGTTTGGTAGGGAGAAATAGAATTATTAAAATTGAGAAGGAAAGAAGTGGTATAAAGACTAAAATACCCTTATGTAATAATAATAGTAATAATAATCAAAGATAATAGTGTCATTTCATCTCTTTTTTCTTTCTCACATCTATTGAATTGCAATTCAACAAAAGGAGGAAATTGCTATTCTGCGGAATTTCAATTCTCTCTAACCAAACAATGTAATTCATCATGTTCATTAAATTTCAATTTTTTTACAACCAAATTACATTGTACCAAACATGCCATATTAGTGTACAAATTGAGGGAGAAAGGAATTGACCAATATATCAAGACTTGTGATTTGGGAATTAATTAAAGCTATCATATTCAGTGGTTTAGAATAATATAATATATATTTTTTTTGAAAACAATAATATAATATTTAGTCTCCCTTAAGTGAACAATATTATAATTAGTTGTACTCAATTGTTGTTCGTGGTGCATAAAAATATTTTGTATTTAAAATTTTTAGTTTAATAATGTTTTTGTAAACATTATTACATTCGTAGAATAAATAAGAGAAAAAAAAAAAAAACAGACAAATAAAATTGAAATAACTAAAGAAAATCAAACGTTATTTCAATCGAATTACAATATACTTTTTTTTTTTTATTATTCGAAGGAATTATCTTCCTGTAGCTACTAGTAACTTCATATGATATTTTAATGAAGACTAATGAGTCCTCTTCTCAAATCCACAAAAGGAACACAAGAATGACAATGTCATTTCTGCAAGAAATTTGGACATTTTCATAAAGATTGCCTTAAGCATAAGGCATGATTCGAAAGAAAGGTATACATTATATATCAATATTTTTCGAATCAAATTTAACTGAAGTTCCTTATACTTGGTGGATTGATTCTAGTTTCACTACTCATGTTTCAAATACTATGCAGTGATTCCTTATGACCCAAATCATAAAGCCAAATGAAAAATTTGTGTTCATGGGGAATTGAGTCAACGCTCCGGTAGAAGCCATTGGAACTTACTGTTTAATTTTGGATACTTGAAATCATTTGGACTTGTTTAAAACTCTTTATGTTACTTCAGTTTCTAGGAATTAAATTTCTTTGTCAAAACTGGACTCTTGTGGTTTTTCCTTTAAATTTGGAAATGGATGTTTTACTTTATTCAAACAAAATCATTTTGTTGGTTTTGGTATTCTTTCTGATGGTTTGTACAAACTAAAGCTTTTCAATCTTTTTGCTGAAACTCTTTTAACCATGCATCATTGTATTGGAACTAAACGAAGTTTAGTGGATGAAAGATCAGCTTATTTGTGGCATAAACATTTGGGTCACATATCTAAGGAAAGGATTCAAAGACTTGTAAAGAATGAAATCCATCTTGAATTAGATTTTACTGATCTAGGTATTTGTGTGGACTGTATTAAATGAAAACATTCAAACCACACAAATAAGAATGCTGACACAAGAAGCACACAGTTCCTTGAAATTATACACACTGACATATGTTGACCTTTTGATGTCCCAACTTTCAAAAAAGAAAGATATTTCATCACATTTATTGATGATTTTTCATGTTATGGTTATGTCTATTTGTTGCATGAAAAATCTCAATCAATAAATGCCTTAGAGGTATTTGTGGATGAGGCTGAAAGACAATTACACAAAAGGGTGAAAATTATAAGATCTGATAGGGGTGGTGAATATTATGGAAGGTATATTGAAAGTGGAAGGCCATTTTCTAAATTTCTTGAAAAACGTGGTATTTCTGCTCAATACACAATGCCCGGTACACCACAACAAAATGGTGTTGCAGAAAAGCGTAATCGTACGTTAATGGAAATGGTTAGGAGTATGATGAGTTATTCTTCCTTACCCCTATCATTGTGGACATATGATTTAAAATCGCCGCTTATTTATTAAATAGCGTTCCTAGTAAGGCAGTTTCAAAAACACCTTTTGAACTGTGGACAGAAAGGAAACCTAGTTTAAAACACTTTCATGTTTGGAGATGCCTGTCAGAGATACGCATTTATAATCCACACGAAAAGAAACTGGGCTCAAGAACAACTAGTGGATTTTTCATTGGTTATCCAGATAAATCTAAAGGGTATAGATTCTATTGTCCTAGCCAGACTACTAGAATTGTTGAAACTGGAAATGCCAAGTTCATTGAGAATGATAACATAAGTGGGAGCGTTGAACCACGAAAGTTGGGACTTAAAGAAGTTACGGTGCAAGATTCTCCGATATCTTCTTCTCAATTTGTTGTTCATGTGCGTCAGATTACTCTGCCTGGAGTTACTCAAATTGCTCATCTTGCAACGGTTGAACAATTTAACCACATGCCTGAACAACAAATTAATGATCAACGACTCCATGTTGAAGTTAACAATGAATCCACAAATGATATTCTTACAGAAGTAGCATTAAGAAGATTTCAAAGACAAAGGAGATCAACTATATCTGATGATTACATGGTTTATCTTCAATAATCAGATTTTGATATTGGCATTGATGAAGATCCAGTTTCATTCTCACAGGCTATAAATAGTCCTAATTCTTCTAAATGGGCCGAAGCCATGAAAGATGAGTTAAAATCAATGGAACATAATGAAGTATGAGATCTTGTTAAATTGCCTTAAGGTTGTAAGCCAGTTGGTTGTAAATGGGTCTTTAAGACCAAACACGACTCAAATGGCAATATTGAACGATACAAGACCAGACTTGTTGCCAAATGTTTTACTCAAAAGGATGGTATTGATTTCAATGAAACATTTTCACCTGTTTCAATGAAAGATTCATTTAGAATAATTATTGCACTAGTAGCTCATTATGACTTAGAGCTACAGCAAATGGATGTGAAAACTGTCTTTCTTAATGGAAATTTAGAAGAAGAAATTTACATGAACCAGCCTGAGGGTTTTTCAATTGAAGGAAAGGAACACATGGTGTGTAAACTTAACAGATCGATATTCGGACTTAGACAAGCTTTCCAACAATGGTATCTTAAGTTTAATGATACTGTAACGACCTTTGAATTTAAAGAAAACATTGTTGATAGATGTATATATCTGAAGGTTATTGGAAGCAAGTTTATATTTTTTATTCTGTATGTCGATGACATTTTGCTTGCTACTAATGATCTTGGTTTAATGCACGAGACCAAGCACTTTCCTTCTAAGAACTTTGAAATGAAAGATATGGGTGAGACATCCTTTGTGATTGGAATTGAAATATTTCGTAATAGATCACATGGAGCGTTGATTGTCTCAGAAAGCATATATCAACAAAGTCTTAGAAAGATTTAGAATGTGGAGTTTGTGGCATGTTTTATGGCCACAAATCATGGATAATAGCTGCGGAATTTTATTTCGGGACTTGGAATTGTCGACAGTACTGCCAAGCCGCTGAAAATTTATTGTGATAATGTCGTAGCAGTCTTCTTTTCTAAAAATGACAAGTATACAAGTGGTGCTAAACATATTGATTTGAAGTATCTTGCCGTTAAAAAAGATGTTTGGGAACAAAGAGTATCAATTGAACACGTTAGCACTAGATTAATGATTGCAGACCCATTAACTAAAGCCTTGCCACCAAAGGCATTTACTGAACATGTTGAAAGAATGGGTGTTATTGGAAACTGTTAACATTATGTTAAGGTTTGTGTTTTGATATATTTGATACTTAAAGCTCAATATAGTTTCGTTTATGTATTAAGTATCCTGTTTAGTTTATGAAGTATATATACATGAATGTTTTATGTTAATATAAACAGCATTTGTCAATGACAAAGACATTATCGTGGACCATCATGAAAAGTTCATTATGAATCATATTGAGTTTGGAATTAATATTGTGATATATGGAAGGGATTGTGATATATGGAAGAGACTGCGTTAAATTAGTGACGTATTACCACCATGATTTTTATTAATTTCTGACTTAACGATGACTTATGTCCTGCCCAATATAATGAATTAATTAGCTTATACTATGCATATTATGTTTCATGTTCATTATTAAGTTTATGACTTATGAGCCAAGTGGGAGAATGTTAGAATAATTATTAATGTTGTTATTCTATTGGCTCATAAATATTTATTTATATTTAATAATGAGATAATTCTATGATTGGCCAGTTAGGGATAATAACAGTTCCAATTGCTCATCAGATAATAACCTCTCAAGTTGATGGAACCGAGAGATAATGTTTAACTATTATTATTGTGATTCTCTGGTCCTCTCCCCAACCTTAGAAAATAGAAACTAAAGTTTCTCTCCATCAGAGTTCTTAAAAAAAGGAATGTTGAAGGTCTGGAGGGAGAAACCAAGTTTCTAGTTCAAGTGGGAAATTCAGGGAGCCAAGTATGTCCACTGAACTCCAATTGAATACAATATGTGAAATCATGTGTTCTGAAGATCTTATGTTTATAGAATTATCTTACATCTTCCCCTTTCACATTTAAAAACCTTTTTGCAAGCAAAGCAACTTCTTAACTCTTCAGTGTTTCCTTCGCATACAACGTTGTCATCAAGAATCATGAACAATCGATTCTCTTTCAACGATGAAAGGAAATGCAGAGATAGATTTCTCTCCTCCTCTGGACCATCATAAAATACTACCCTCCTACCCGTTAACAACTCCACTAAGACAACCCCGAAACTGTAAACATCACTCTTTTCCGTTAATTGGTGGGTCTGCATGTATTCTGGATCGAGATAACCCCATGTTCCTTGCATCATGGTTATCAATTGAGTTTGATCTTGCAGAACTAATCTTGACGCATCGAAATCAGATACCTTAGCAATGTAGTCGCTATCCAGGAGAATATTTGCCGGTTTAACATCTCTGTGGTTGATGGGAGGAGAAGCTGCAAAGTGCAAATAAGAGAGAACCTCTGCGGTTTCCGAAGCTATTTTTAAACGGGTCAACCAACGGATTTTTGATGCCTTCTCTTTGTTGTGCAGATGCTCAGACAATGTTCCGTTACTTATGAACTCGTAAACCAACAAAGGAATTTCTGTCTCTAAACAGCAACCAAAGAGTTTGACAATGTTTCTGTGATTGATTTGGGAGAGCACAGTTACCTCATTGACAAACTGCTCGACTTGGGTTGGGTCCATCATCTTGGCATTTTTAACGGCCACGATACGGCCATCAAGAAGGTGTCCTTTGTAGACAATGCCAAAGCCTCCTTGACCAATGATTCTAGCTTGATCATAATTGTTCGTGGCTCTTTTAAGCTCCTCAGCAGTGAAAATTCTTGTCGTGTCAGAAGATACACCACCTTGAGCAATCCTTTGTTGCAGAACGAATCCTCCATTTCCCTTAAAGAATTTCTCTTTTATCTGTACTAATTTTCTCCGTCGATATCCCAAGTATAGACAAAAACTAGTGATCAGCAACATTATAGTGCCTAATGCAACACCCAAATTAATCACGTTCACATTTTTTTATTTTTTTTTATTTTATTTATTATTTTTTTTGTTTACTAGGTAATTGGCAACCACCTCCCCATCTTCCTGGTAACCTTCCTTGCAATGGCATGAAAACCCGCCTGGTTTACTCTAAAAAATGGCGTTTAATTTTAGGAGCAGTTGTTCTGTTCCTTTTCACATTCATCAATATCTGCACAGCCAATAACTAACATATTAAAACTAAGTATATAAATAAATGAAATTGTACATGATAGATATATTGCATTGGCAAATTATACCATGGACTGGGTCCACCTTACATTATGGACTCTTGTTCAAAAGGAAATTCACATTATGTGTTTGCAGTTAACATATTATATGTTTCCTGTTAATAGATTATGTGTCTGTAAATAAATTAAAGACACATATTATGTTAACTAGAAACACGTAATATATTAACTACATACACAACATAATAATATTTTAATGTCAGGAACATAATATGAAATTAACATATTACTGTGCATATATGTTAACATATTATTGTGTGCCTCCAATATATTTATTCAAAAACATATAATTTTTTTTTTTGAATGCTACTGTCTCTATTACAATGTAGTATCTGCACAAACACATAATTTATTACACACATAATTTGTTAATTGCAAACACATTATTTTTAGACCAAGATCCACAATACAAGGTGGATCATGGTCCATGATATAACAAATTGAGATATATTGTGATTAACTCAAGGCATATGCGGCCCATGACCTGAGGGCACAAGAATAAGAGGGTGCTCTAGAGAAAGTGTCAAGGATCGGGACACGGCACAATAGGACCAAACCCGAGCAGGGGCAAAAGCCCTCGAGGTAGGCAACCAATTTTGTTCCAGAGCAGTCTCTGAGCTCGAAACGGTGGGGTTTGACCTAGTCTCTCGGCCCACCACATTTTAAAGAATATTGTTGGGCTTTATTTTGAATAAATTAGCTTGTGTAGGACAAAGCACAATGATGTAAAACTAAGTAAATAAATGAATGAAATTGTAAATATAGGCCCTATTTGGTAAAATAGTTAGCCTATCAGCTAATTTTGCCTTGTTTGGCCACTATTTGCTGTGTTTGACTTGGTTAAACAACCAATATGGATGTTTGATTAATTAGTTTTTTTTTATCAGCTTATTGGTTCAAAACACTAAAATTCAAAAGCTATTCAAAACAACTTTTACAATTAACATTTTAAAAATGTCATTTTGTATGTAATCAGCTATATATCGGCTAACAGCTAATTTACCAAACATTATTCTACAATCATGCTATCAACTAGTCAAATCCACCAACCCAATCAGCTAACAACTATTTACCAAACACCCATAAAGTGTATATTAGACAGTACTTACCTAGGCAACCTAGATGGAGATATGGATTGCCTTCATAACCCTTCTCACAAGCGCATCTTGCAATTGATGCCTATTTGAGATGTATTGCATAAAGGGGATTATTTGAGTGTTCTAGGGTTAGTTGTGTGATTTGGGTTTGATGTGAAATTGTGTATAATTGTTAGATCCCAATTATATGCTTGATTTGAGTGTGTTTGTTGCTACGAGAGTAGAGCTTGTATACTAGCCACACATTCACACACTTGATGCCCAATACGAAAGTATTTCGGGTATTAAGGAGACTTTATGCCTTGTGTTCTTACTTGGGAAACCTTGGATTGAATTGCCACGAGAGTGGAGTTTAAGGTGAGGTTGCATGTCCAAATAGCTACGAGAGTGGTATTTGGACACTTTTGTGCATCTCACTTGTTTTAATTCCTTAATCTTTAATACAATAGTTGACATCTTAGCTTGAATCATCCAAATCCCGGTCCTTTGTTTTACTTGTGTTTTTGTCATTAGCTAATCATATCAAACCAACTCATTAAGGATAGGTCTAGCTTCTATAAGGATAGTTTTAGCTTGTGCTTAACTCCTCTTTGCATCAATTCCTAACATTACAAGGCCCATCTCCAGTGGAACGATATCTAAACTCTATACTGTGATTTGATACTTGATGGATCTGTGAAAACTGTCCTTATCAGCGTGCCCCGCCCGTGCCCCCATTTTAAGAGGTGGCGCAGCGTGACGGTGTGGCAATGGGAGGGGGGGGGGGGGATGTCACCAGCCGTGGGTGGCTGGACGCAAGGCTTTGTAGCCCGGGGCGCTGACCCTTTCCAGTTGAGGCGTGCCTTGCGCCCCCGACGCGTCAGTCGCGCCCCCCTTCTGGGGGGTGGGCGGCGTGGGGGGTGGGGCGGTGCAGTGTTGCGATAGGATGGTGTGGCAGTAGGGTGGTGTGTTGTGGTACAATGCAATGGAGCGTGGACGTGGGACACGTGGAGGATGGAAGAGAAGTGAATCTAGGGATGTACACGTGGACGATGTAGCTCTAAGGGATTCTGCTATAAATAGGATGCCTTGCCTCTTACCAAGACATCATCATTGGAGCACAACATCCCTCCTGGTCCATTGGCCTGTCGTCTATACTCTCAACCCATTCACTAGCGTTCGACTCTTGTCGGTAGCATAGTTAGTTATAGTCCATCCTTTTGTCCTTAGTCTTTGTGTTTGGTCCTCTATTTTGGGCTTGTGCCTCAGTCTTTGTACACATTATTTGGGCCTAGTGCCCGATCAATAATACTACTATTCTCTTACCCCATTCTATACCTCTATACCGGGTTTATGATGAAATCGGTCCCAACAAAACCATTAGTATGACAGTTAGCTTGATAACTACATAAATAATTTTAAGTCTTTTTAGTCTAAACCGACCAATTATGATTTGTCCACTATGACTATGTTTGGAAAACATAGCTGAAAAGGTAGCTGAAAGCTTAAAAGGAGCTAAAAGATGAAAAGCTATAAGCTAAGAGCTGAAAACTGAAGAACTGTTAAGCTAGCTGTTATGCTTGAAAGTGTTTGGTAAAATTAGCTTTTTGATAAGTTGATAAATGTAAAAAGACAAAAAAGAACATCTTCATAAAATTTAAATTAGTTTGTTTACAATTAAAATTTAATATCTTGTCTTCAAAAAATATTAACATTTTGAAATAAAATTATTAACATAATCATGATTTAGCATCACATAATGAAGTAGCAATATTGTTGCGAATCTCCTTCATCTAATAATAATAATAATAATAATAATAATAATAATAATAATAATAATAATAATAATAATAATAATAATAATTGCGGTGAAAGTTGGGGGATAAAGGAGAAGAGAAAAAAAATTTAATTGGGAAGGATAAAGGATGTCAATTTTTTTTAAAAATATTAAGGACAAAGATGGAAAAAAAATAAGTTAGAAAGCTACTAGCTTATTTTCAAAATAAGTTCTTATTTTAAGCTAGGAGCTTATTTTGGGAACATTACCAAACAGAGCTTATAACTTATTAGTATCTTAAAATAAACTATAAGCTCCTAAATGAGTTCTGGCAAACAGAGCCTATGAATATAATCTTTATCGAGGAAGGGGTATGTAATTTGAGTGACTTATCCATATTGAACCCAAATGACTCATTTCTATGGTTAACGAAGTAAGTCATCGGCAATATCGTAATCCAACTAACAAACTAAGGGGGTGTATTCAATCATGACTTTTGTAGAGTTTTAAAGACTTTTAAACTGATAGATTTTAATAAACTTTGATTGACTTTCATAGAGTCGTTCAAAACTTTTTAAAACTTTATAAGACTCTATAAAAGTCTATATAAAAAACATTCATAGACTTTTATCAACTTTTTATTTTAAAAAGTCTACAAAAGTCATTGAAATTCTACATTGAATACATCCTTACAAACTTTCAATGATTTTGATTCATCATTTATAATTTTTTTACAAAACATTTATAATATATCATAAAATTTTCTTATTATGTAGTTCTTCACCCACATCAACATTCTCAACATTATTATTTTTATCTATAGTATGTTGAGACCTATATGCTAATTACTTATATATATTCTTAATAAACATAAAAAAAATTTATTTTATTAGAAATTCATAACAATATTGAATAATAAAATTTATAATAAAATAATTGATCAAATAAAATATTTAAAAATATAATTACAAGTTGCATAAAAAAAATCTAATATATATATATATATATATATATATATATATATATATATATATATATATATATATATATATATGAGACTGCGAAAAAAAAAAACAAGGTGTTACTGTTTGTAACCCCAAATTATTGTTGCGAACAGTAGTTCGCTATTCATGGTAACTTGTTAAAAAAAAGAAAAAGAAAAAAAATATATATTCCAAATATAAACATAAAAGAATAAAAATCAAAATGTACAAGTATTTATATGAATACTATGAAACATATACTAAAATTTGATGATGAAAAATTTGCTTTGTTCATGTATTTAGGGAGAATTAGAGAAAGTTAAGGATAAAAAAATTCATAGAAAAAATAAAAATCAATATAAACAAGCAATAATGAAGTAAAATAATATTATTTCAAATTTTTAGAGGAATATTGTAAAGTTTAGGAGAGAGAAAAAAATTGGTAAAGTTTAGGTATGAGAAAATATACGATAATGAAGAAAAAAATAATTTTATTAAATTTAGATAGGTTTATAAAGTTTAAATTGGGAGAAAAAATAGAGTTCAAATAGAGAGAGAAAACATTCAAAGTTGTTAGAAAGAAAATTATGAAATCCGGGCGTTGATGGTTGGATTTCAACTATTTATATTTGAGAAGAAAAAGTCTACAAAAGTTCATAACTTTTTGAATACCACTGTGACTTTTAAAAACTCTCTAAAAGTCTTAATCGAATACCACACGACTTTTAAAGACTATTTAAAAATCTTGATTGAGTACCGCTTGACTTTTAAAGACTCTATAAATGTTTGAATTGAATACCCCAAACTTTTAATGTTCGTAAAAGTTTTTAAAACTCTATAAAAGTCATGATTGAATACACCCCTAAATTAAAGGAATTTTCAAATAAAGCTCATTAATGCTTGTGTCGTGTTACAAACGATATTATTATTTCCCCACTTATTCACTTAACACCTCCTTTTGTAAGAACCCCAACCCCAAGGTCCCCCCCACACCCCGGCTTGATAGAGCATTTGGGAGGATGTAAATCATGGTGACTCAACTGAACATGCTCCCACACTGCCGCTGGTGAGATTCGATCCCTGGTCATTCTTCTAAAGTTTCACCTCTATAACCAGTTGAGCTACCCATGCAGGCATATCTTTTCAATTCTTACCGAGTATGGAGTATTACATAGGCTAACTTGCTATGAAAAAAATTCTATTTACTCTTAAATTTTATTCCATATTTTTACGCTCCTTGTGCCGTACGTGTTACAAACGGGCGATATTATTATTGCAAGTTGTGCATCTTAAAAGCCACTCATAATATCAGTTGAAGAATAAATGAAGGAAAAATAATGTGTATGAAATGTCAGTGTTGATTTAAACTAGCCTTCAACAAGAGTCATTGAAAACTCTCCCAAAAAATGCATGCAGCATGTATATATTCCCATTATTGGACTTGATCTTGAATTATGACTTGGTCTTTTGTTTATTGGACTTGATCTTGAATTATGACTTGGTCTTTTGTTTATATTATTATTTTGGATGACGAAAGATACCCACAATTATTATATGAGGGTGTACACACATAAAGTTGTGTTGGGATCCTAATCAATAAAGGATCACAAAAAGCTAAGCTAGCTTAAGTTAATTGTCTATAATTGATTGACTCAAAGCCTCAAACCAATTAGAGCCCGCAACATGGGTAAACTGTACCTTAGCTTGTGACCCAAATAAGTAAATGACCACAATGATAAATGGAAGTTGGTTTTAATGGGAGTGTAAAAAGTAAGCATCGTCCTCAAGGATCGGAGTAAAGATTTGGGTAGGGAGGGGTTTAACACAAGTGCATTGAGAGCTAACCTGAATGGAATAGGTGATTACATTGATTAACAAGTATAAAAGGGAGCAATTGATTGAGTAAAGACAATGATAGAAGAGAAGATTTATATCAAACAACTTTGCATAGATGCTTTTGAGTGTTCTAAGATTCTAAGCCAAGCAATGCTCAGCAATGAAATTGAGGGAGTGGTATAAGTGTCAATGTCACTCTCGTGGACATTGGACTATCACCTAAGTCACGTCCTAGTCTCATTCTCATAGCAACTAGGCTAGGTGAGGCAATTAAACAAACACTTCCTCCTTCCGGGCCAACTTCTTTTTCTCAAAGGTGAGTTAGAAATGTGATAGGTTTGGCTATGGTAAAGCCCTATTATATATCATAGATGAGACACCAAATCTAATAAGCTCTTGCAAAGTTGGGCCCTAACCAGTGGTGGAGTCAAGATTGAATGGTGCGGGGGGGGGGGGGGGGGGCAACTAGTATGGTGGAAGTACTAAATCAAATATATTAATATCCAGTTAACATATTTCAAAAAATCATTACATTAAAAATTTAATAAAGTTTAGAATAAATCATTTATAATTGAATCTATATTAAATTATTTTGTAATATGCTTTTCAATGCACGTTGCTTTGTACGGTTGAAAGAATGAAAACATTCATGCATGTTTTAAAAGATTATTGATTATTTCTTGAAAACTACCATCTTCACAACATAACATAATAGCAATTGTTTTCTCAAATACATATACTACACAATTTTTACCATACATTATAATGCATGTTAAATTAAATACAAAATTTATCACATAATCACAAAGCTGCATAATTAACCAAACAAATGCACCTTGATATCCATTATTTAGACTCAAATAAAACAACTATTTAAAATAAACAATAGAATATGATAACAAAAATTAACCAAACAAGTAGTTAGAAACAAAAAAAACAAAAAAACAAAAAAAAACAAAAATTAACTTGAAAAATATGCATAGATTTTAATGACAAATTATCTTGTTATAGCGTATATGCCGCATATATGTATGGTTCTAGAGGGAGAAACTAGTAGGTAGGTAGGTTAAATGATGTTTAATTTGAATGTTTATGCATAGATTTTAATGACAAATTATCTTACAGCGTATATGCCGTATTACACCTTGTTGTTCGTAACCATAAATTGGTTTTGTGAATGTTTATGTGGACGAAGAACTAGAATAAATATTTTTTGATATATTATAACATTTTTTTTGTATGAAAAATTATAAAATAAAAAAGTTAATAAAAATCTATCAATGTTCTTTATGTAGATTTTTATAGGCTCTTTCAAAGTTTACAAAAGTTTAGAACGATTCTATGAAAGTCATTGAGAATTATTAAAAGAGTTAATTTCACTTTTGGTCCAATGATTATTGTGGTGTTGTTACTTTCAGTCCATTAGTTTTGTCAATTTTGTATTGTAATTGTCCAAATTATCGGCGAAAAGTGGCCAAAAAATTTTAATGGATAAAATCTTAAAAGACAATTTAGTCAGTTGCTCCTATTTTCTTCTTCTTCATTTCTTCTCTTCTACGCCGGAACAGGGATTTCTCAAGCCAGTGAAATGTTGGTGTAAATGTGATATGAAGTCTTAGTTGACTTTGACGTGTACAATAAATAACATAAATAAAGGAGTGAATATTTTAAAAAAATAAATTTAGGAATAGATGCAGTGTGCGTCACTCTCAATTCTTACAATAAGTACGTAGCGGTAGTTGGAGCTAAGGAGACTTAGGAGTCAACCATAATGTGACAATTTTTGAAGAAGCAATAATGGTTGGAGTGCATAAGACGATATGATCTATCCCGTTAGACACTCACAATATATATCTTTTTTACAAAAGGTTAAATCTCGTTCCAATGACATCTACACTTCCATTTTCAATGTGGACAAATGCTTAATCAGTTCTTCCAAACCTTTTTCTGCATTTATTTTCCTACTCAAATAAGTCTACTTTGAGACTCAATTTTCTCATTCATCCATTGCTATTTGTATCACAAAATAACCATTTAAAATGACATTTTAGCGAAGGCGTACCTTAATTTCTTTATACCGCCATCATATTTTCCATAGGCAGGGTGTTAGACTTGGCCCTTCACGGATGCAATATATATCATGGACCAGGGTTTATATAGCATTATGAACCCTGGATTGAAACGATGAGGTACAAAATTCATACTCTTTTTTTTTTTTTTTTTTGAAGACAAAATTTATACTAATAAGGTACAGAATTTTATAACACGAGAAAAATCACAACATAAGACACAAAAATATGTTATATATATTTTTCAAATTTGATTTAAGTACATATTTTGTGTTCATAGGCACAGAATTTCACAACACAAAGACACAGAAATTCATAATATAAGACACAATTACTAATTTATTTTAGGTACATAATTTGTACTTTTAAGGTATAAAATTTCATAACACAAGATACAGAAAAACTCATAACATAAACACATACACATGTACCAAGATTCACAGTACATTGTGAACCCTAGTCCATAGTATAAGGCCAGATTGCTTCACCACCTCCGTCCAACAATCCTCTAATCACCTAGTATTGAATTTGGCCCTTCACCGACCTCCGGCCATACTTGTTAATAAATGTAATATTACCTTCAATCAAAAATCAAGTAACGAAGAAAAAACTCCTTCCCTCTTCTTAATTAGACCTTATGTATACCTTTGGACTTGGTCGGTCTTGGGTGATGACTTGGTCTTTTGTTGGTCTTCCCACAAGTAGAGGGCATTGCATTTTGCATTATATATATAGATACAAACAATGTTGGCTAGAAACCAAGTTGTCGAACAACATGAGCTTATTCCTTGTACTACTACTACTTGTGTTATCGGCAGTACTAGGTTTTCCTCCTAGTGCCGCCACATCTAAAAATAACTATCCCATAGCCAAACCCAACTGCGTTGATCGCTGCGGGGATGTAACCATCCCATTTCCCTTTGGGTTGACACAAGATTGCGCTCTAAACCCAGCCTTCTTCATCAATTGCACCTCTTCCATTAACCATCTTCCTAAGCCATTTTTAGGAGGCGGTAATGTAGAGGTAAAAAGGATATCAGTTGAAGGGCAGATGAACATCAAGAGCTACGTAGCTCGACGGTGTTATGACAGGGGTGTATACCCTCCCCGACTCAACATATTTTCGTTTAAGTCATCGGGTGAGTCGTTGAAATTGTACGTCAACCAGACCGGCAATAAATTCGTCGCTGTGGGTTGCGACATTTTTGGTTACGTTTACGGCTATGGCGAGAGGGGCACCTATAGAGTCGAAGGTTGTAACGCCACGTGTAGCAACATAGGAGATGTTGAAGAAGGGAGTTGCTCCGGGTTTGGGTGTTGCGAGACCGGGATTCCTAACGTGGCTAGGAACGTGTACGTTTCAGTGGATAGCTATAATAACTATAACTATACAACCGGTGTTATTCCCTGCAACTACGTGTTCGTGGTGCAGAAAGAGGAGTTCAACTTTTCCACCACTCTCCTTACCACCAGAAACTGGGATTTGGAGAGGGAAACGCCACTGACGATGCTTCTTGACTGGACCATCTCCGAGCAGTTATGCCTTGCCGTGTGTTTAGGTAATACCACGTGTGTTCTCGTCAATGGTACGGTCAATAGTGAGGGTTACCGTTGCGGTTGTTTGGAGGGTTATGAAGGCAATCCTTATCTCACTGGTTGCCAAGGTATGCATGTCCACTCTAGCTCTATCTCCATATTTATGTCTTTCTCTCTATTGAAATGGTCAAATAAGCCCTAAATTTTACTTGAAAAGTTAATTAGATCCCTACATTTTAAAAAAATACAATTACACCATTTAACATGACATATTAAGATAATGAGATCCAAGCACCGATAAATGACCTACTATTGTAGGTCATTTTGATTCCGGCAAAAATGAGGCGACCGTCTCTAGTCGACATCTGCCAATAGAAGGTGACTAGTTGATCGTCATTTCCCGTAGAAGACGACCAACTAGTCGCCTCCCACGACAGAAGGCAACCAGTGGTCACCTTCCGCCGGGGTGGTCGCCAACTAATTGACAGAAGGTGACTAGTGGTCACCTCCCACCGAGGAAGGCGACGAGTGGTCACCTTCCAGCGGAGATAGTGACTTGTCGGTTGCCTTCTCAGGCGAAAGACGAACAGTTTGCTTTCAGGATGTAATTACAGTTTTTTAAATTTAGAGATTTAATTGACTTTCGAATAAATTTAGGAGCTTATTTAACTCTTTTCTTCGCATATATGGGGACATAATCAAATAAGAATATGGTAACTGATATAGTCACCTATAATGATTAAGAACTCATTGAGGCTTTTAGTAAAATGAAAAAAAAAAAAAATCAGTTTTTTTTTTTTTTTTAAATATTTTTAATATCTATAAAAACAACCCCACATTTTTTTTTTCCCAACAACCTCAATATTTATAAGATTCATTCACAAATCATTTTATCAAATTCATTTTTATTCAATAATTATGCACATTGAACTGCATATTGTTGTAAATTTAGCCTTTTAATTATATATTAACCTAGTTGCAAATCTATTCTTTCAATTACTGACCAAATTGAAAATCTAATACTCCCTCTGGCTCATTTGGTCAAATCAACTCTTTCTTCTTTATTTATTTTCTTTAGTATTTTTTACTTATTTTTAAATTTAATTTTTTGTGTTTAATAGTACTTTTAGTGTAGTTTCTAAATATATAAATTTGGTGTACTAATACTAAACTTAATATTATGAAAAATTGAATTAAAAATAACTTTACCAAAACTCGTTAATCGAACTAGACACATAAAATGGTATGGAGAGACTACTTTTAGATGAAGGACTAAATTAACAATTGAAACTCATTGGCTACTAAGAAATAAAAAAAAAAATACAATTTTTCAAGGAACACTCATCTAGAGTTGTCATTCCTGTCCATGTATGTTAGTTGGGCCAGTTGTTAAGATAAACTCTGGTTTTAAATTGTGTATTTTTAGTATTGGAATTATGAAATTTTAGAATATAAATTGTGTTTGTAAGTTTTGAAAATTTGTGAATACAATACAAGGTCATTACAAATTGTATTTTTTAAAAGGTTAATTGTTAATATTTAGTATATAAATTGTGTATCTTTGGATTTGGGTCCACCTTGCAAGGTGGACTAAAGGCTACAGAATAATTTGGGCAAATTATATCATGCACCGCGCATCTTTTTTTTTTTTTTTAAATGAAAATAAACAGTGTTTATTTGCCGCCGTTTCACACCTTTTTGCAAAAAGTAACCCTGTTCTTCAATGTCATTTTGTATACACTGCAGTGTCAGTTCAACACAACTACAGTTTCATTTCGATATAACTATAGTTTCATTCGATATTTATAGATTGAAATATGTGAAAATGATATTTATTTTTATTTTATATACACTATAGTTTCATTAAAACACAACTACATGATCATTTTGATATAATTACAGCTTCATTGTACAATATATATTCAGTTTCATTTTATATACACTGCAGTTTCATTTCACTATAACTACAGTATCATTTTGATATAACTGCAGTACCGGTTTAGATATACTGTAGTGTCAGTTGATGTTTAATAAGTAGGAACCGTTGGTAGGAAAATAAATAATAATCAAATAAAATTGACTATTATTTTCTGGAAAGAAGGGAAGAAAAGATGAAGAAATTTGGCTAGTGTTTGGTGTTGGGTTTTTGCAAGAGTCAAGTGAGCACTATTTCCTTAAAACCTTATTTGTCACCTCCCAAAGATGCTAGGAGAGTTGTGGCCTAGGCTTCCCAGGATAAAACTTGCTAGTGATTCAATGTTTGAGCACTCAAACAAGGAATCCGGCGAGCAAGACACGGCTATGAACGCAGTAGACTAAAGAAGGAGTAGAAGCAGAGAGGTTTTGAGGCTAAAAGAATAACTTTCGTGTTCTATATTTTCTGTGTGTAAATCTCTACTGCCCAGCTCCTCTTTATATAGGGTTGAAGGATTAAATAGCTCTTAATAGGACACTTTAAGGCACCCCCCACTACACCTGGTAACAGCAGCCATTACCATGGGTTTCAATTCAAAATTTAAGATTGGATTTAATTCAAAGAATTAATTCCGTAACAGTAAGAATTGAACACCCAACGGTCACAGACTGCACAGGTTCGTGTAGGCTGAAACTTCTAGTTTCAACCACCAGGCCAAAACTGAAAGTTTCAGCCCTAATTTTCGGCACAAGGCCGAAACATGGTGCCCACATGGCCGAAACTACCATGTTTCGGCCATGATTCTCACAAGGTCGAACTTTCAAGTTCGGCCTTATTCAGTTTCGGTTCTCAAACCGAAACAAGTTACAGTGGCATGTTGGAAAATGATACCGAAGTTTGGCATAACTTAGCCCACAAGGCCAGCCAATTTTCGGACGACATTCGTGTGCACGAGCTCGGGCTTGAATCAAACCTTTTTCAATCTCGTCTAGTTAGAATTTGATTTGCACCCCCCCCCCCCCCCCCGCGCGAGAGAGCCTCTATGCTATACAATTCTACAAGCTTCAAAAGAACTCTTGTATATAAGGGGGGCAAATCCTCTTTCCAAACCAATGTGGGACAAAAGCTCACTTTTTCCCTTCATTTTCCAACTCAAATGGGTCTACTTTGAGAATCAATATCTCATTCACCCATTATCCATTTTGAGCGTACAATATATCGATCTATTCGTCTCACTACGAAGAATCCGAATCCACTTTGACCCGACCCAAATCGGAAGTGATAATTGTAGCACAAAATAGCCACTTAACATGCCATTTTATGCCATTTAAGCTATTTTTTTCCAACAATCCCCCACATGAATGAAACATTGATTTTCGGGGTATTTTGAAATCAGAAACAACTATGTTCAAACGGTCGATCCCTGCATAGGATAGGTAGGGAGTCACTATACCCTTTGAACCTTCCCTTGTGAAGACATGTTTACTCTACTGGCTGTACGGTAGAACGCGATGTCTTTGAACTGACTGCCGTTTGTGTAGATGATGACATATCTCACACAGGAATCTCCCAACCATGCTCTTGCTCTCATGAGTGTGCCCGTTTTGGTTGTGGGTCACCGTTCCTAGTTTTGCGAGAGTTTCTAAAGAATTGTGCCCAAATAATTCTCCTTTGACGCGACCCTCACTTCTCTCTAACATAGGTGATTCTTTCTCGAGTATCCCGCATACTCAAGAATCATTAAAGCATTAACATGCTAGCCTCGTGCGGGAGTCACTGTTTTAACGAGGAGTGGTAGGGAGTCCGAGACCCCCACAGTGACGCGCTTCGTTTCATAATTTAGTTGTCCCATTGAACCTAGGTACCAGCTAGGTTGGGTATCCACTATAGAACTTTTTAGTCCAAGGGCATTAGACCCATTCCTCGTGTCAACTTCTCCACAACTTCTCTTCCTAACCCTTTGGTCAGCGGATCCGCTATATTGTCTTTTGACTTTACGTAGTCAATCGAGACAACACCAGTTGTGAGCAGTTGTCTAATGGTATTATGTTTACGACGCACATGTCTAGACTTACCATTATACATATGACTCTGTACTCTCCCGATTGTGGCTTGACTATCGCAATGCACACATATTGGAGGTACCGGTCTTTCCCAATTAGGAATATCCTCTATAAAATGGCGTAGCCATTCAGCCTCTTCACAACCTTTGTCCAAGGCTATCAGCTCAGATTCCATCGTGGATCTAGCTATCATAGTTTGCTTAGAGGATTTCCATGCAACGGCTGCACCAGCTAGTGTAAACACGTAGCCACTCGTGGACTTAGAGTCCTTAATATCAGATATCCAATTCGCATCGCTATACCCTTCAAGTACAGCGGGATATCTCCCGTAGCGCAGTCCAAGATCACGAGTATACCTCAAGTATCTCATAACCTTTACTATTGCCTTCCAGTGCATAGCACCGGGGTTACTCGTATATCTACTGAGTTTACTAACCACATAGGCAATATCCGGCCTAGTACAGCTCATAAGATACATCAAACTACCAATAACCCAAGCATATTCCACTTGTGAAATACCTTCTCCGTGGTTCTTGGTCAGATGAATGTTTGTATCAAATGGTGTCCTAGCCACTTGACTATCATCCTTGTTAAATTTCTCAAGGATTTTGTCAATATAATGTGATTGGCTCAACACGAGACCATCAGGTCTTCTAATGATTCTAATCCCGAGGATTAAATCAGCCAAACCCATATCCTTCATGTCAAATCTCGCATTTAACATGTTCTTGGTAGACTTGATCATCCGATCATTACTACCAACGATGAGAATATCATCGACATATAAACAAAGAATGACGTAGCCGTCTATCGTTTCCTTAACATAGACACATTTGTCACTTTCGTTTATTTTAAACCCGTTAGTTAACATCGCATGGTCAAACTTCTCATGCCACTGCTTAAGCGCTTGTTTCAAACCATAAAGCGATTTAACCAACTTACACACTTTCCTTTCTTGGCCCGGAACCACAAACCCTTCGGGTTGTTCCATATAGATTTCCTCATCTAATTCGCCATTTAGGA